GTGTGTGTGTGTGTGTGTTTGTGCGTGTGTTTGTCTGTCTGTCACTCTGGGTATATCACGGTGGATCACAGACACGACAGCCATCTCTTCTTTTGGTTCTTCCCCGCCACAAAGGTCGGTGTGTGTGTGTGTGTGTGTGTGTGTATGTGTGTGTGTGTGTGTGTGTGTATGTGTGTGTGTATGTACGTATGTGTGTGTGTCTCTATGTGTATGTGTGTGTATGTGGGTATGTATGTGTGTATGTGTGTGTGTTTGAATATGCATATATGTGTGTATAAGTGTGTATATGTGTGTGTATGTGTGTGTCTGTGTCTGTGTGTATAAGTGTGTACAAGTGTGTATGTGTGTGTGTGTTTAAGTGTGTATGTGTATGTGTGTATGTGAGTGTGAGTGTGTGTGAGTGTGTGTGTACATGTGTGTGTATGTGTGTATGTGTGTGTATGTATGTATATAAGTGTGTATGTGTGTGTGTATTAGTGTGTATGTGTGTGTGTATGTGTGTTTGTGTCAGGCGCGGTTTGTCCATAGAGCACGGTGGTGCAGTGCCGCCCAAAATTTTTCAATGTTCTATAACTAAAAGCACCCACAAACATGAAATAAAAGAAGTCAGAAACAAACACTAGCCAAATATAATATCAAAACAAGGTCCTCGCTGGCGCTGTAACTGTCATTTCTGTGTCAAAAGCGCCGTAAAACATCTACTATGCCATGCCAAAGTCCAAGCGCTTTAACTAAACGTAATAGAATATTCAACAGTGGTTATCTGACCTATAAATCGCTCTTTGGGATAACCCAAGCGATGACGACACTCGTAGCTAGTTTGGCGGTATATTAATATTAACAAGACGGCACATCTCAAATGTGCACCCACGAAACACTACCCATAGTAGGCAGTCTAAAAATAAACGCAATAGCCTGTACACTATTCAAAGCCAAAATTATGTTATCCCCGGAGCAATCCAGCGGAGTGCTCAAGTGACTTGTGATTGGTTCATTGTCTTGCCACTATTTTAAGCGACTCCGTGACCGTGAACCTGAGGGAGGTGAACGTGACATACTTAAGTCACTGTCCTATGAGTTGTGCCTTTGAACGGTTTTGTAGTGGAGTGGTGAAAGTTATTACTCGAGTGTTCAGTCCCAATGCAGGATAAAGAAATTGATGTTAAGCTAACAAACAGATTTAGTTCTAGAAATCAAAGCGACCAGTAAAAAGAATGAAAATAAAAGCATAAGGTCCTCCTTCATCAACCTAAAAATCCTACCATCCCATTTACTATGCCCTTGACTATCTTCAACCTGCTGTTGCTTAATTGTGCACGCCCACTTTTTAGCCCCACGAGCCGCCCCTGGTTTGTGTATATGTATGAATATGTGTGTGAGTGTGTGCGTGTGTATACGTGTGTATGTGTGTATGTGAGTGTGTGTATGTATGTATGTGTGTGTATGTAGATCTATGTATGTACATGTGTGCACCTTGCTTACAAACAAATTAAACAGAAAAACCAGGATTTGTTTTCCCTACAAAGGTTGCTCCTGACGAGACCCAGCTCATTGTCTACTTGAACGGAGGGCCTGGGAACTCGGCGATGATTGGTCTATTTGAGGAGATCGGACCAATCACAGTTGACAAGAATGGTGAACGTAAGTAAACTTTTTTCCCCTTTAATAATTTGGTGAGGCTTTGTGTATTTTTGTGGCATTTTTTTGGTGTTCGGCATTGGTTCAACTGTTTATTTCTTTTTTCTTTTTTTTCTTTCTTTTTTTTTGGTTTGTTCGGTTGGGGGATGGAAGGGAGAGGGGGGTCCTGTTTGTATATTTAGGGGATTTTACGCTATTGTTTTTTCTATCAGCCTTTCAAAAGTCCAATAAATTTTATCTAGAACTTTTTTATTAGAATTTAAAAACCGTTAGCCAATATCATGACTGTGAATACGATTTTTAAAAAAATCTTTTTTAATAATGTAAGTGTTATGACACAGCCACCGATATACATTGTAATTCAGATCATTTAGGGGGCGGGTTTACGACCCTGCCTGTCGGGGCCGACCCAGGCTGAGAGAGATACAACATCCCGGCAGAAAGACCGAGATACTGGATAAGAATTCTTCCCTCTTGGAAATAAAAACTTTAAAATGTCTAAAAGGGCCACCGATTGTTGATGACAAAATGGCTATCTTATACAGGTGGCCGTCTTATAAGTGCCATCATATAATTATTGTTTAAAACCCAATTAAGACGGGAAATGAGAAGTGGTTGCACACGTGATTGTCTTATACAGGTGGCCATTAGAGCAAGTTGCGCTTTATTTTCTCTTTCTCTCCCTGGCAGTTGTTGAACGTGTGACGTCATGGGTGGACCACTACTCGGTGATCTTTGTGGATAACCCCGTGAGTAACCTTTTTGTTTACTATCCGTGAGTTACTCTGTCGTTTGTTTTCTACCCGTGAATAACCCTGTTGTTTTCTACTTACACGTGAGTAACCCTGTTGTTTTCTACTTACACGTGAGTAACTCTGTTGTGTTCTACCCGTGAGTAACTCTGTTGTGTTCTACCCGTGAGTAACTCTGTTGTGTTCTACCCGTGAGTAACTCTGGTGTGTTCTACACGTGAGTAACTCGGTTGTGTTCTACCCGTGAGTAACCCTAATGTTTTAAGTCCGTGTGTAACCTTGTTGTTTAATGTCCGTGAGTAACTCTGTTATTTTCATCCCTTGAGTAACTTTGTTGTTTTTCACTGTGAGTAACTCAGTAACCTGTTGTTGTTTTCTACCAGTGAGTAACTCTGTTGTTGGTCTATGACGCTTCACTGTCGCATGCAGTTGAAGGAGACCCTAGTTCGATTTTCAAGTGTGGAGAAATTTATATTGAATACATGTATATATTTTATTAAATATGTGTGTCTTTCTGCTGGGGTGTTACATGCCTGACTGTCAGCTGGGTTGGTCAAAACCTGCCTCCTAAATGATCAAAATTATATCGAATCGATGGGGTTTGCTCTTCTTTCCTTTCTAACATATCTTGTCCTATTGGGAAGAGTGTGTGTGTACACGAGTGCACATATGCGTGCGTATTCATGTGTGTGCATGTTGTTTGTGTGTGTGTGTGTGTGTGTGTGTGTGTGTGTGTGTGTGTACGTTTGCATACGTGTGTGTTTGTGTGTTTGTGTGCCTGTGTGCGTGTGTGTGTGTGTGTGTGT